CTCCACATGTGTTTGCTATTCCAGCTATCTTCGGCGGTTTCTTTTAAATTCCTCGATTCTTTCCAACATTTTAAATCTTCGAAGTCGAAGCTCGTCTAACTGACATTTAAAACTTCTTTCCTACGGCAAGGAAAACATAAATCATCTCCATGACAACGATCAATTAGTTAATGCCATTTCAGGCATTTCAGGCCAGAATCATTCGAACTAATAAATACAGTAAGATTTCAGGTTATGACGGCTGTGAGTCTTCTGGGATATTTCACCGTGTAGTCTCGTAGAGATTGGCAGACGTTTCGGAGGTACTTAATGCTTCCATTATCAGGACGATGATTGTAGGATTAAGATTGTAATCATGTGCCTTGGTCTTCTGGGTTGTGACATCATGTGGTCTTGTACGTGTTTACCAAAGTTTTGGAGAAACCTTCTGCCTCCATATTCAGGGCGACGTCACTTCATCACTGACATGAGGGCCTCGAACCTCGGGTCAGAGTCCGTGTAGCTGCAGCGGTGCGCTTACGACACAGATTCTGAAATGTCTTGAAGCTATTTTCAAGTCGCCAGACTTTAAAGTTTACCTGTTGCTCCAAGTCCCAAAAACTGTACTTATTTTGAACGTTACTCAAAGTTCAGTGGCGCTCCATGTAACTTACGCGTTTTTACGAAAAGAAATGCATTGTGGTACATAAGACATCATTCTATATCCAGACGACCGGTCGGTTACCTGACACTCCAGTAAAATAAGAACTGACGTAAGTAGCTTACTGTAGCGCTGGTAACACCCCTCGTCTTCGTATCAACATCTCCAACTTACATACAACGTAACTTACCACTAATTAGCCTAAATAACTGCATCATAGGGCAGAAACCTTCTACAGACTCTGATGGTCGTCTAATCAAGAAACTTACCACACAGCCTGATTACCGTTCTTACAAAAGCCCGTCAATGGCCCTTATCCTGAGTCAAATCAATCCAGTCCACGCCCTCACGCCCTATTTCCGTAAGATATATATGCATGTATTCTCCCATCTACGTCTATTTCTTTCAGATTTTTCAACTAAAATTTGTAAATTTATCTTCTGTCCATGCCCCATCCACCTCATCCTAATAACATCTGGTCAACTGTATAAATTACGAAGCTCCCACATTAAGTAATTTTCTCCAGTTTCCTGTCACTGCATCCCGCTCAGGTCCAAACATTTTCCTCACCACCCTGAATTCAAACGCCCTCAATATGCGGTCTTCCCTTAAAAGCGAAAGATTAAGTTTCATAACTATAATAAGCAACAAGAAAAAATATATTTTTGTATATTTTAATCATTACGTTTTGAGATAGCAGTTGGGAAAATGTTAGATTGTATTTGTTTGCAGAAAGATACACTTTAATAGCAGTTTTTATACCAATATTATATTCGATATTTTTCATCACTATACGTACATCATGAATTAACTAGCAGAACTATTATTTTGTTCTAAGTCAAAAGGGCTTACGTAAATATAAATAACGTTCTACGTAAGCCCTTCTTACTGACGAACAACTGCTCAATTTCACATCTGGACAAAGGCCAGTGGCGCTGATGTCCGTGCCTGGCTAAGAAAGATAACAGTGAGATAGTTAGTTCCGTTTCTCGCCACATAACCACTCTCCATTGTTGGGATAAAACCGACCAGTGCTCGCGGTACGTATGTCGCTTACCGTACACATTGAGCCTAGCTGAGTGCGCCGAGCGCCCTGCTCTGTTCTCCGCTGTACACGTGTACTCGCCGCCATCTTCGACCATCACGCGACTGATGTTCACGTGACTAATGACGTCTCCGTGCACTGTCACGTATTGCCCAATCACAAACCTGCAACAATTAAAAAAAGACAAACTAACCTAACCTGACTTTAACAATTGCATTATGAACGCCTGTCGAAATGAGACGAGCATTCTGGTCATTGCAACGTATAGGCGTTCTTTACGTACGCAAATTGACGATAAACGTAATAAAATGTTATGTTTATCGTAGCATAGAGGTTCAGTCACTGACAAAATTGAAGTGTTTTAGAAATTACGAAGTATATAAACTATGTAAAGCCCAGCGGTAAATATATGTTTCACGTGTTACAACAATCGGTAAATTTTTTTTTAAGTGTTTACTACGATTCTCAGCGTAAATAGAGACATTTATAGATATTTATCTTGATTCTGTCTTTGATTAAACGTGGTGAGCGTTTCTTCTGTGAAGCCTATACGCAACTTTCTTGAAAAGACATTTTTCAGTTACGAACCGTACCAAAAAATATTTTCGTATTCAATATCCATGAAATTTCCAGCATTTTATCTGCAAAAATCGCTTTCTGCGAGGCAAAAAAAAAAAGTGTTACGTGAAGGAATGTCACACAGAGTAGCTTATATAACACGGGCTTTTTTCCTTCTTCCAGGTTTGAAAGCCGATGGATTGACAAATTATACTGTTATGGGATGTCCGCATCACACAAAGGTTGAAATGACACGCCATTCAAGAGACGCTGTCGCAGTTACATAGCATCGGAGAAGAGGCGCCGGGCGTTGCGTCGAAGAACGACGCAACTCGATTCTTGTTTGTTTCAGAAAATAAAAAACACTGAAAGCGCACGGAATACAGGAGTTATTTTCCGATCTTCATTTTTAATGAACTTGATGTTTATTTATTGTGTACAAAACCAATTTATTTGTTTCATTTGTCGTAATTATCTTGTATCGAAGATCTGCGGCAGAAATTAGCGCTAAAACAAACATAAAGCCTGTTCAAAACGTAATCTGAAACAAAAAGTCAATTCTCGTATATTTCCCAAACATTTCAGAGCTACGACATCAAGACAGCAAAAATTTAAAAGTTAAAAATTATACAGATTATTAATATATATTGTTTGTTTCCTGAAACCCTGTAGCAAGCTCTGTCTCCTTCCATCGGTTTATGAATTTAATTATAGACATCATTATTATAACAGGGCATCCTAAAAATGCAATACGTTCGCCCGAAACGTCGGTAATCACATATAAGACTACACGGCGTCAGAGCGTAGAATATCACAAGCCTACAAACTCAACTCTCATACGGCATGTTTTCGGAGAAGTCTAAGAACCAGATGACGTGTTACTCGGATTTTCCTCTTAACCCTCAGAATGACCGCAGGGGATGTTTTTGTGCCGACAATGACAATGGCCTTCATGCACGTGGGCTAGCTGGCCTCTTCCATCTGACACGTGACAGGCTGAAGACCTCTCTACATGTTTTTTTGCGTTTGGCAAGTGATGAATCTTCAATCCTCCAGCATCATCATCAGGTCTTTGTCATCTGTGGTTGGATGCGTCAGGATGCATATCATTTCCGCAAGAGCTCTTGACGAAAAGATGTCACTACGAGAAAGGAGTTTACAATGTGTTTCAGTTATCTTTCCATATTTTCGCTACCAATAACTCGGGATTATTCGTTTCCTGACACAAGAATTCTCGGTAGATTGCTAGACACAACAAGACCAGTCTTAAAGCGCTTGTCGATAGCATTTTCCGTTTGTGAGTCTCAGTTCTTACCTGGTGTTTCCATAACAACGTTAAGATTGCAGTGTTTAGGTCTAAACTCATAAGTTTAAATTATTTATCCAAGCCAAAACAAAATGCAGCGTTTCGCTGTGAAACAATTTTATGTCTAATTTGCTTTGAAATCCAGGTGATATTTACAGATTTCCATTTTGCGTCAAATTAAAGTCATCGTCTAAAGAATAAAAGGAGTCAGGGTATCTCAATCAGTGCAGTGCCTGATTACGGACTGGACGACGGGGGTTCGATCCCCGATATGGGCAGAGGATGTTTCCTCTGGCCTCTGCGTCCAGACCGGCTCTGGGGCCCACACTACTACTCACCGCCTTCAAGAATGTTTAGGAGCTGTATCTCCTCTCCCCTCGACAGCCTACATGGCGTGTAGCGGAAGAGAAACACACAGAAATTGCCTTATATACTACAAGGAAAGCGCCAGGACTACGCCTACCTTAAATTAAGTCTACGAGACTACATGACGTCTCAATCCAGAAGATAAGAATCAATGAGATTCTGAACCTTGAATTTTAACCGTGTACATAAAGTATAAATTACATTTAACTAACGCACGATTACTAACAGTATGAATTTCCAACAGATCTGTATAACCCTTTGAAGCTCAAGTTCGTCTAAATAATATTTAAGAATTCGGTTCGTACCGCGAAGAAAACACCACACTTCACCATTACAAAGATCAACTCGTTAACGCTGTTTAAGGAAATAACCGCTGTTTACACCGAGAACCGTACAAATCTATAAATACAAAACGCAGAGTTAATAACTGCTAAAGCAGTCGACTTGAAATGGTTAACGTGAATCTGTGAAATATTTGCTGAAACCATTACGTAGTCGTGAAGGCAGTGAAGGGGCTTAAATCAATTTGCCAGTCGGCACTCAGCCGCGTCAGTACATCATTGTTAAGTTCAGGGTTTATATACTTGTGTTCCGAAAGCACTTAAATACACGGACAGAATAGGATGTATAGAACACTTAATAAGCCTACAGTCGCTTTAATGTAAAGTGGACCTGAATGGGCGTGTAATAATGTCGTGGTTACAAAGGAATGGATGCCGTTGTAAGGGTAGGGAGCACACGAGTTTAGGCTTTCAGTACGGACAGAAGTGGATGTTTGTTTATGAATATAGTTAAGCGCTAGTAACATCCCAAAATTGATACTGTTAGAGCTTCCTACTAATACAGAGAGTTTCATCCGAAACGCTACCATGTCTGCAACAGCTTTGGCGATATCAGCATAACAAAACAGAACAGTTCTTTCTTAGTTCTTATCTGTCTGGAAGAATTTACAGAAAAGCTTTGCATCAGATGCTGGAAATGCCCACAAATTTCTCTAAGATAAGAATCTACTCATTTTAGTGTGTTTCATCCGACTTTGGGGAGCGTTTCTGGGTCAATGTTGGAAACTCTGTTCGATATTGTGTTCTGTCACTTCGGACTTTGTTCGAAACCCCCCGATCCTAGGATGAACACATGTTCTGCGCATTAATACACCACCTGAACAACTTTTGCGCAACTGACGAGACAGCGGCCTAGCAAAAAAAGTGACCTTGACTCAAGTGTGACGGGGGAGGTTGGGAGAGTCTATTGTACGGGGGTGGACCTGCTTCTGTTCTAATTTTTTGAATCGTAGTGCGTGATTGTTGTTTGTTTACGTTTTGGATGGTACATCCTGTTGGTCGGCAAGGTGAAATAACTGCAACCTGATTCCTCTTTATGTTCCAAGGATGGGAAACTTGTTTGCAAGTTTCAGAATGCTTGAATACAGGAGGTTTCGGAAATAAATCTCCTGGAAACCTGTAATTACCACAAACATTTTAGATGAACATAGGTAAATGAAAAGTTAAAGCTGCTCCTGGTGCTTACGTAACCATCATGTCACGAAGACGTCTTCTGGGACGCTGCACCGTGTTGTCTCGTAGAAACTGACCGATCTATCTGGGCGATAATTGAGGTCGTAAATATCTATAAAACGTCGATTAATTTCTAAGATACTACATGGTACAGCGTCCCAGAAGACAGTCGTCTTCATTTGTTAGGGCTTCTTAGACAGGCTTTCGATTTGCCATAAGTTTCCACCTGCAGAGAAGAACATAGTAATTGACCATAGGATTTCATAAAGGGTGGGGAATTTATTAACCAGCTGAGCGACCAACAGCTTGTCAAGAAGGACTCACGATCCATGTGGTTAGAATTTGCCATTTAACAACAGTTATCCTACTTCAGAGTTCATAGTCTGGTCCATAACTTTTAGCCCGGAATTGGATCTCGAGAGACCTTATTTTAACTGCGTCAAATGTATGTTTGTCTCTCCGAACAGGCATAAATGGTCACGATTTCAAGATTCTAAATGCGCGCTGGTTTGTGTAAAGACCGGCAATTTGTCTGGCCCTCGCACGAAGTCTTCGGTCAAATAATGTACACATCCTAAGCAGACGAATTTCATCCGAGTTTCAAATTAATGTTCGAGCTCCATTCAGCAAAGGTTTACCTGCAACAAATCGTGTGTTTCGAGAATTCCTACCCGGGTAGCATTGTTCGTTTGTAAGGGGACTTGGACGCGTACATACAGAAATTTCTGCAGCTTTCATAGACCCTGCCTCACTCTCACGCTTGGCAGAACCCTTTCAGCTGCATCTCCGATTCTGTCTGACACGAGTGATGTTACTCTACTCCTGCCACAGGGTGACTACAAAATTTGTACACGACTATCGTAAGAACGCTGTTGAAACAGTAATCAAAGCAAGACAGTTCTCGGTATGCCTTACACCACATGAGCAATTAGTGCTTGGAAGGGTTAGATTAACCAAGACTAAGGTAGAGAAGTAGATAGAACAGAGTTGTTACAGAAAATTATGATACCGAATTTTTATTCATAATGCATTACGTCTAGAGCGTAACCTTTGCTTCAGGAGATTCAACCTTCCACGTTCCAGCAATTTGAACAGCTTCACTCCATACGATTTCTCTATCGGAGCCATTTAGTGCGATAAAGTAATTCACTTACGTAGGAAACTGCAATTGCATTTAAAAAAACGAGAAACATCCACGCATCTGGGGACAATGCAGTGTCTTTGTCTCACTCAACGAAATGTGTTTCCGGGCATACACGAGAATAAGAACAATTATTCGACCGCAGTTTATGCAACACTTCTGCCAGCTGCGTCTTTTGTGTTGCCTACTCCAGCACAGTAACAGGCGTTGTCAGACCGTAATGCGCCTGGAACTATTTTACTAAGTGAAGATGGTTGTTTTCTGGGTCGTTGCGCCGTGTTGTCTGGTAGAAATCTACCGACGTTTCACAGGTCTTTGTTGTTTACGTCATCAGGTTCTGTTAAACTTCTACCATACTACACGGTGCAATGACCCAGAAGACAGCTATCTTCGTAATATGCTAATTCCTTTACACTGAAAGTTTCATATCCTGTCGCCCAATCTCCGAGCTGATAAACTACCCCTTGTCATCCGTCCACGGTTGGCAGTTTCCCAAGAAGGGCTTGCTTCATGATGTCTCTTATGAAGAGATGTCTTTTCATAAAGTTATGCTACACACAGTTCTATATTGTTTCTTTTGTTTACAAAAAATAATATATACTTTAATATATAAGGTAATTTTATATCCGTGCTTCTCAATTAATCATCACACCATGATGTATTGGGGAGTTGATGTATAGCTCCATGCATTCATAACCTCAGCGTTAGATGTGAGTGAGTACTTCGCGTCCCATCCCGGTTGATTTCTCCCCGAGAAAAAATTTCCTGGTACCTAATGGTCTGGACGTTGTGGCGAAGAGGCAAAAAGCTACCTCTGCCGAGATTCGAACCCTAGTAATCCTAGCACGGGTCCACATACTGATGATTTCACCACGACTGAACACCTTCCTCCATTTTGCCAAAGATAAAGACAGACAGTGTACTCACTGCGATTAATCTCTGATCAGTGATAATTCTTCATTCTTAATCAACCCACTGCGTATGTTTCTCAGTGATAATAAGAACTGTAAATGAGACGATACATAGTCGTAAAATTAATCGAATTCACTCACGGATTCCAGTTAAATTATAAATCTGAACCACTTACATTTCTATCAGTTCTGAACTTTTGTATTCTCATGTCAAAAGCGAGAGAGAGAGAGAGAAAATTGAGGGTTAAAATAAAAGTTAGCTTCTTTTTTGCTAGACAAATGCGTTCGTTTATTATTACTATCAGAGGAGCTTGACAATGCTGTAAGAAAATCTTCTTAAGACACACGACAAGATTGTTCAAGTGCTTGTATTTTATTCTGCCTCCGCCATGAAACTTCTTGTACCAGCGACATCTGGCGTTATTAAGCCAGACCTTCATTTCACTTCACAGACGGATTTAAGCTGTCACGGCTGGGACAGACACACTTCTTTATCTTGGCTTGCAGTTACCTCACTTTGCGAGCAGTTGGACCTACCGCGGGCTTTTAAACTTTTATTTAGTTCTCACAGAAGCCAATATTTTCTGTGGAGGCAGTTTTGATGGAGCTGGAAACAATGACTTTTCAGATATAAAGTAAACGAACAGTCAAGGACTTTGGTCAGGAGACATTTTTAACTGCATTATCGCTGAATCGATGATGGATGTAATATTTATGCTAACAAAGCTCAGTTTCTTGTTCCCATAAATCGTCGACTTCATCACGAAAATCGATTATCATGCCTAAATATATGTTCTAACTTAACATCCTTCTGTTAGGTTATATTTATTAATCTAAGGACTTGAGGCCAATTGATAAAGTAAATTGAAAATTTTTATGTAGTCTGGTAGAAGTTTATAAGCGTTTCGGATGCCCTTGATGCCTCCATCATCAGAACGTGGTAAACTCGTAGCAAACTACATCCCAGAAGACATATATATTTATTCCTCCAGCCATAAGAACCTGATATCTCGTCTTTATAGTATTCTTCCTCTGTTTATTGCGTTGACGTATAATAAGGTTAGCGAAGTTAACTAATGTGACAGGTTATCCGACACGTAACTGTTCTGGAAACACTAGTTTCACCGCACAAATAACTGCGCAGTTCTTAATGTTTTCTGTGCATTTTAACTGAAGCTTTAATATTGATTAGCAGCCACGGAGGGCCTACAGAATCCAGTTACAGGGAGGATAAAGGTGACAGGTGCCAGCGACGTGGAGCGCTCTGTTCCACGGCTGTTACGTACACACGTACCTGCCGTTACCGGGAAGTGGAAAGCCGTCCAGAGTCCATGCGATCTGCGGTGTGGGGTTTCCTGCAGAACTACACTTGAGGGACACTGCAGGCCCTGGCTGCAGTGTCTGTTCGATAAAGCTGTACAACAGGACTGGAGGGGCGTCTGAAACAGTAACACGACGGGGTCGGTGAATTGGCTGGAATAAAATAAAACCGGTACTCTGTTATCAAAATTGTTGCGGGAGGCATCTCGTCACGAACGGGTCAACGTTCAAGTCAACTCCATGGAAACAGAATCCTTCTCGATAAGCTGATGGTTGTCCAGCTTGCCAAGAAATTTCCAGCAATTTATGGAACCCGAATGTTAATTACCGTTTTCTCAAGAGCCAACCACTGTCTCATATTCTGAGGCAGATGATGAATCCATTACACAACCTTACAATGTATTTACTTCTGTCATTTAATATTATATTTCCATCTACATCTATGTCTTCCGAGTAACCTGTTTCATTTAGGAATTTCCAAATAAAATTTTTGTATTCATTTGTCAAATCATGATTTATGCTGTGTGCCCTTCCATCTCGTAATACTTAATTTGATTGTAATAACAATGCATTTACGTCAGTAGCATGTTATTTTCAAACTTATAACAGACTCGACAACCATCTTTGTATTCATCGCCGCGAGAACATCAAAGCCTACTTAGGCCTATCTGTAAGGATTTTTTTACTTTACTACAGGTCTAATTTAACGCGCTCATAGCCGTGGTAAAGAAGCACAGTGTAACATGTTACGTTGCCATTAAAGTTATGTAAAATATGTCTGTAAACACTGGTATATAAAATATTCCTAATTCACTGAACATTCCGGCGCATAAACACACATACACTGTAAACATCGTTAGCAGAATATATATATTCACTGTAAGTGCTGGTACATACAATAACACCAGCGCTGTCTGACCGAAATGCAATTTTGAATGTCTCCGAGTACATTAATCACAGCACTGAATTATTACGTAAGATTTGTTTTACATTTCACATCGTTCAAATTTATTACGGTACGTGAATTTTATATTGATTCTTCAGGCAATGAAGTGACTGGCTTCAGGCTGGACGACTGGGTTTTAATCCCCAGATAGGAAAGGAACTCAGCTGATACCGGAAATAAAGCGGTCGACGCTTGAAGCTGATTACCTACTTTCATCTACTATCGAGGTTAAGAATACGTGAAGTTTACATCCGTTACTGCATAAGTCTCTACGACTTTGTAGGATTTTAGGTTTTCACGGGCAGTGGGGCAGGGGTTTCTGAAACGTCGCCAAACTTCTATCATACTACACGTCGCAAAAAGTCTGATGACAGCCATCTTCACACTTTACTTTGATCGTAAAAGTAATTATTATTCTAACAATAATTTTAACGAAAGTTCGAAACAGCGATCATTTCTTAATTATCGTTAACCAACGGATCTCTGCAATGGTGAAGTGTAGTGTTTTCTTCGCGGTACGGACTGGATTCTTAAATATTAATCAGATTATTCTCATCGTAACCAACGATCATTTCCTTGAACAGCGTTAACCAGTTGATCGTTGTAATGGTGAAATGTGGTGTTTTCTTCGCGGTACGGACTGAATTCTTAAATGTTATTTACATTAGCTTCGGCTTCAAACTGTTGACATGTTCAGTTACATTCATTTAACTGACTGATATTAATAAGGTCGTTTTGCAATTTTTAATGAAGCTTAAAGAATAATTTAAAAAAGAACGTCGGTGTAACATGCGAAGAAGGCTGCAACCAAAACCCATAGTCTATTCGGAATTTTGTGAGAAGGTCAAAAATCCTTGCTATAGTAACTAAAACGCTGAATTTCCGAATACTAATGACAAGTGCTGAATTCTCCGCGTTACTGCAAGGGCACGAGGGCAGACGATGTGTGTGTAGAACGGTAACCGCATGGGCAAGGCCTGATAATGAAGTCCTTCAGTTATCTGCCGGTAACGACGTCTCTTGGAGTGCGGACGGACAGTTTCAGGCGGTCCAACAGATTCCAGCACCACATTTCCTCTTCAGTGCCTCTCTTCTGCAGCTGTTCGCCTGTCTGCGGTTTTTTTTTCTTTCCGACTGTGCGACCGCACTCTTGGCAGGGTTCGGATCTCAACACACGTAACACCAACAGAAAAATGTCACTCAGATATCAAAATTTCGAACGAAACATTTCACTTCCCCTTGAAGATGGAGGCGATACGGCCCTAGGATACGTTAGTAACCACCTACAAGGCCACAGGGTCTAAACCTCAAATTATTCGCATCTTACATATTTATTTCTCTCAGTCTCCCTTTATCGGCTTCAAATCGTTAACTATTGGTCGACAAAATCTTGGATCGCTCCGACACTAGGCTTGTCCTCGTCTCTCTGTATTGCGCTGTTCTACATAGAAACCTGGGGAAGGGGGAGTCCCCAGTCCAGGGAGTCCTACCAAATGTCTAGCATTCATAGCTTCAGAATTTAATCCGTGAAAGATGATGAAATTACGACTAAGAGTGATATCTATGTTTACATAATTCACAAGGAAAGGGAAATTTGTGGTGTGAAAATGTCCCTCCATGGCATATTGTTAACCAGTTCTCATGAAACTTGTAATTTATTGTTATTGTTAATGGAATTTTAGGGTCACCTAATTTTGTGTTTCAATAAACGGAACAGTTAGCAATACCAACATGGCGATCATACGTAGTTCTGAGTTGGTAGTAACAGTAATTCGATTCAGTACTAAATTGTAAGTTTGGATATGTCTGAATTCTGTCACTGTCATAAATACAGGTAACAATATGATTAGAATAGCAGTCAAGCGGGGAAATTAATTAGGTGACAGGGTTTTATTGTTATTGATATTGTATAACACATTCTTTTGTGTCTGTAAATACAGACACTGTAACGAGAAATTCTGAGGTTACGTTTGATATGTTTAAAATATTTAAATAGTATGCTAGGTCTTGTACAAATAAATTTACATTATGATGAAGAATTTGGCTAAAAAGTTCTTAATTTCTCAGCACTGTCTGACTTCTGTATTCGGAGTGCAGAGTTTTGAGAAAAGCAACTATCTACCAGTTATTTTAAGAAATTCTGATGTAACAGTGACCGTTCCTTCGAAAAAATTTATTCTTCTCAGATACAAAAGAGAAGTGCAGTAAATATATAGCAAAAGAGTAAGAATTTCTCGGCGTCTTACGTCCTCAGTCAAGAGTTCTTTTGAAGAGGTCCATGCCATTATCCCACAGCCTCTTCACTTCTCTTGCAGTTCAATACAGTTACCTTCTCTACCCCACTTGGTAGAACGCAGTAAAGTCTTTGTGAGAAAGTTCAAATCGCCTGCAGACCACAGAAACACGTTCTAAGCTAAGCTTCCGCTCTCCACAGTGATTGAAAGAAAAGAGTGTCTCAGTGTTTCTGAAAATGGTAAGAATATCTGAGATTATTTTATTAACTATTCGAAGCTGCTTATTTAAATAATATATAAAACGTCAGTCCGTACCGCAAAGAAAACACAACGCTTCACCATTACGAAGATCAACTGGTTAACGCTGTTTATTCTGTAAATCATATGAAACAGAGAAATACACTCAGTGGGAAAAATGCAAACTTACTGAGTGTTAAAGAAGATGGTGCATATAATTACTTTTGTGATTAAATAGGCCCTGTAACCGACTATTACTATAGCAAATAACAAACAAGCTAGGACCAATTACACCACAGTCCCTTCCAGTCTACAGCACATAATCACAGAAATCTGCTCTGTATAATTTCCAAAATTCATAGGGCGGTATTAACAAAATTGTTGCGGGAGGCATCTCGTCACGAACGGGTCAACGTTCAAGTCAACTCCATGGAAACAGAATCCTTCTCGATAAGCTGATGGTTGTCCAGCTTGCCAAGAAATTTCCAGCAATTTATGGAACCCGAATGTTAATTACCGTTTTCTCAAGAGCCAACCACTGTCTCATATTCTGAGGCAGATGATGAATCCATTACACAACCTTACAATGTATTTACTTCTGTCATTTAATATTATATTTCCATCTACATCTATGTCTTCCGAGTAACCTGTTTCATTTAGGAATTTCCAAATAAAATTTTTGTATTCATTTGTCAAATCATGATTTATGCTGTGTGCCCTTCCATCTCGTAATACTTAATTTGATTGTAATAACAATGCATTTACGTCAGTAGCATGTTATTTTCAAACTTATAACAGACTCGACAACCATCTTTGTATTCATCGCCGCGAGAACATCAAAGCCTACTTAGGCCTATCTGTAAGGATTTTTTTACTTTACTACAGGTCTAATTTAACGCGCTCATAGCCGTGGTAAAGAAGCACAGTGTAACATGTTACGTTGCCATTAAAGTTATGTAAAATATGTCTGTAAACACTGGTATATAAAATATTCCTAATTCACTGAACATTCCGGCGCATAAACACACATACACTGTAAACATCGTTAGCAGAATATATATATTCACTGTAAGTGCTGGTACATACAATAACACCAGCGCTGTCTGACCGAAATGCAATTTTGAATGTCTCCGAGTACATTAATCACAGCACTGAATTATTACGTAAGATTTGTTTTACATTTCACATCGTTCAAATTTATTACGGTACGTGAATTTTATATTGATTCTTCAGGCAATGAAGTGACTGGCTTCAGGCTGGACGACTGGGTTTTAATCCCCAGATAGGAAAGGAACTCAGCTGATACCGGAAATAAAGCGGTCGACGCTTGAAGCTGATTACCTACTTTCATCTACTATCGAGGTTAAGAATACGTGAAGTTTACATCCGTTACTGCATAAGTCTCTACGACTTTGTAGGATTTTAGGTTTTCACGGGCAGTGGGGCAGGGGTTTCTGAAACGTCGCCAAACTTCTATCATACTACACGTCGCAAAAAGTCTGATGACAGCCATCTTCACACTTTACTTTGATCGTAAAAGTAATTATTATTCTAACAATAATTTTAACGAAAGTTCGAAACAGCGATCATTTCTTAATTATCGTTAACCAACGGATCTCTGCAATGGTGAAGTGTAGTGTTTTCTTCGCGGTACGGACTGGATTCTTAAATATTAATCAGATTATTCTCATCGTAACCAACG